TCCGCCTCTTGCATCAACACAGCTTCTATCATATCTCCATATCGTCTGTTCATTTTTTTTCAACACCCAAAATTATCTCTCAGTTTCACCAATAGCAAAATACACAAATACCCTTATAGTCAGGTTGCTCTCTTATAAGTGGGAGGTTATTGGTTTGATATCACTTAAAATCTACTGATTGTTATATGCATGCCCTTCTAATTTAGGCGGAAAAAACTAATGATGCAACACACTACCTTCGATTCTAAATATAAGAGCTAGATGAGAAGTTCATTTTGATTCTAAGTACAAGACTTCGATTCATTTTGTTTCTAAAATTCATATTTTTTGTGTGCCAAAGTATTCCTATTAATCTCACATTTTAAGGAGAGTTTCATTAGAGAATAATTCCAATACATATGACTAATAAGAATATTTTAGGCTCTCAGAGGACTAAACATAGGCTGATCTCTTGATTCTTCTTTGTATTTTTTCCCCTTATCTTCAAAACCTTGTACTTATCTTTTGAGTAATAATATTTTTTTTTACTAAAAAAAATAAGGGTATTTTAGGAAAGCTAATACTTATTTATTACAAAAAATTAATTTAACTAATTTTCTTAATATTTACTGATTAAATATTTAGCTCTTATATTGATGACTAATAATTCAAAAGACAAAATATTTTTAAAAAAATAACTGGAGGGATCACCTGGAGAAGAATTCACGAATTTCAGATTCAGAAATGGGGTATCCTTTCGAGAATGTCAAGAATATGGTCCTATCATCTGCTGCCACCACCATCTCCTTCCTCTCGCCTGATGCATCACCTAAACCTTCAGTCACCACTTGCAGTGGCTGTGCTTGTGGCGGCACCACCGCAACCTCAAAACCATCATTAACATTGTATCCCCCTCGTTGCTTCATCATGTACGACGTATGTTCTTTCTCAGCCCTTTTCTGCAGCAAACAATATTGCACAACAATGTCATCAAAAGCTCTGTCGCAAACATTGTTCATTAATTCCATGATCGCTTGTTTTATGCCGACTCCATTCTGGTGCACGAAATGGAGGTTAATGCCACTGTTAGTGATTTTCTGGGTCAAAGGCAAGTCATGGTATTTGAAGTTAACGTCATTTTTGATGAAACAGTACTGGTCGGTACTATGAATGCAAGTGAAGATCAAAGCTGCTTCATTTGTGAGATCAGTGAGCAAAGCATCAGGCCATTGAAGCAACTTGGAGACGAGTTTGAAATCTTTGGTCGTCTTCTCCAACCATAAGAATAAAGCCATGAACATTGAAGCTTGCCTTGGTTCTTGACCGATATTGGCCACTAACCTGAGGAAGAGCTTGCGATCTATGCCATGGAAGTTCTTGAAATCTTGTTCTGTAATGATCACTTTAGAAGTTGAGTCTACAAAGATGGAAGAAGAAAAAGAAGAAGAAGCCATTGTTGTTATGAGATGCTAGCTAAGATGTGATTTGTTATATACATTGAAATGAGTGATTGGAGTTACTAGTACTGTGGTAAGCTTTAGAAGGAAAACAATATATGAGTCTCGTGTTTTCCATTTATGCCAAATATGTTAAAGTTCTTATGTTCACACTACGTTTACTTAGAAAATTAAAATGTGATAAATAGTATTTTTCTTTTTATAATGATATGCTACCATAGGTTTGTTAGCGCAAAAAAAAAAAAAGGTCTCATGTCAGAATAGGGGGAAAAAAATCCTGTTGCGATAAAAATTTACAATATTTAGGCATAAATTATTTGGGAGTATCATATGTCAAATCGTTGTTATAAAACATTGAGAAGTTTGGATTTCGAAATGTGAAAATACTTACAGTTTATAATTTGTATAACAAATTGTATTATACATAATAAAATACTTCTCGAATTCTAAATGTATGAGCTATGTATATCGCAAGAGGTCAACGATTGCACGAGTTATTCAAACAATTCCAATCAGCCCCTGTCACTATGGAAGAACATATAATAACTATTTATACCGAAACAAATGATTATTTTGTTTCATTAAGAATTGGATAGGTAAGAAAATTTTTTGTTGGGTTACGTGCTTACTAATTAGTGAATTGATTTTGATTCTAAATATAATACCTTAATTCATTTTAATATTTATTGTTTTTCCAAACTAATTAATGTAACTTTTGACCAAAAAAACTATTTTATACAACTTATAAATTGATATATAATTTAATGTTATATAGAGGATATTTTAGGGGGATCATGTCATATTTATTCAAATTAAGTAATTTATTTTGCTTTATTAGTCTATTCAAATGAGTTAAGTAGCATTTATATTGAAAACCGGAGGATTATATGATAGAAGAGGAGAGTGTTCCAAATATATAGTTATTCTTAAAGCAGTGATAATGGATGTATAATAGATATTGCATATTTAAAATTTTGTGCAGTGGAATTCCTTTTCATATATTCTATTTTTAACAAAAGCAAGCAAGGCCTGGAGCGGAAAAAATTAATCTTGTTCTTTTAAAATACTCTCTATAGCTTCAAGTTCAAAAAATACTATTATATGTAAATAATACTACCCCCGGTCTTTTAAGACCTCAATCCATTTTGTCTTCCTCCCCACAAAATATTCCTATTAATTATAAGGTATTTCTATTAAGAAATAATTCCAATAATTCAATCCACAGGATTGAAGAGAATAGTTTAGAAAGACCAATATATATTTATGACAAATAACGGACGTAATTAATTTTCTTAATAACCTCAAATTAGTTATCTAACTCTTATATGAATAATAATATGTAATATTATGATAATACATTGTATATCTCGTATTTTGTGTGATAGAAAAGGGAAGTATAACCCCCTCCCTGGATGACATCCAACTCCCTGCTTAAATGGATATAACACACACACACACACACACTAACATATAATTAACATCGATTAGGATTTAGGAGAAAAATAGAAGGATCAAAAACGGAAAACATAATATAAAAGTTTTGTCAGAGATTGTGATAATACCATATGTGGCTATGAAAGATTTATTATATTAATGAATCCAATAAAAGGCATAACAGATTCATTGTAATTAAGTTTTTGAATTCGATGATACATAATACATTAATGAATTAATCAATTGGAATTGCATATATTACCTATTTATAAACTGAAAAAACAACAAAAGTCCGAGCAATTTCCTCAATTGAATTTGTCTCTGCAATTTGAAGATCCATTAGATAGCATTTCCTTGTTTTCAAATCCAAGTTTTTTTTTTTTGCTAAAGCATATATATCCTCCTATTAGAGTCAATTTTATTCGAAGCATTGTTGGGTACTAAATGTGGGTACCTCTCTTAATGAGGATGCAAATCTTGGTTTGTCACTTTGTGAAGGATTAACCCCTTCTGCTAGACTCAACTCCTGTTGGTTTTTTCAAATCTAAGTTGCGTTCAGTGCTTTGTTACTTCACTGCTTTTAGTTTTTATCTGGTGATTGTAGGATAATGAATTTGGACCAAAAAAAAAAGGACAAAAAAAGAGAGAGAGGAGCAAACTCACATCTAACATGCTGGGGTTAGCTAAATGCTTTTCTTTTCTTTTTTTTGTTGAAGAAATGCGTTTTTTCAATTCACCCATTTAACCTAAACTCATAAGTTGACCTGTATTCTTCTTTCTAAACCTTTCGACTCCATAGAAGCCGGCCAGAGTATCATTTTTATACTTTTGAAAACATTTCATTGCATATAATAAGAAAGAGCCATATATAGTACAATTTATTTACATGGAATAAAACTTACTTATATATCAATTAATTGGACAATACCTTGTTATTTTTATCTTTTTGCAAATCATTATATGAAGAGTAAATACTATCTCTGGTCCTAATTATAAGACCTCATTTGTAATCTATAAACAAAGTCTTATAATTAGGATCAAAAGATGATCCAAAAAATTACAAAAAAAAAAGGAGATGGAGAGTAAATTAAAAAATGATTAAAGAATTACATCCTCATGATATAATAAATAGACAATACTTATGTTAACTTCTTTATATCTATTGTGTCAAGTTCTTTAATTATACATAGTCATATGTTTTTTTTAAAAATATTAGCATTTAATAGTATTTAATTATAAATTCATATGAAACAAAAAAGGATACATAACTATGCATGATTGGAGAATTGATATAATAGATATAAACAACTTGACCTAAGCTTTTTTATAATAGAAAAACAGATTCTGTTTTTTTTTTTTGGCCAGGACAAAAAATTTCCGATGTTCTTCACTGCATTGATCGGCATCCGTTCGCTTTGCCTGCAGTTGGAAGATGTCAGCCGTTAGATTAATCTGACACATCTAAAACAACCAAAGTGGCAGGATCCTCAAGACGCAATCCTGGCCGCTGAATGCTGCGGTGATTCGACTTGGGAAGTGGTTGGTTTGATTACCGTTGTTTTGGCCACTCAAAAGAAACCCTTTTTTTGGCCAAAAAAAAAAACCTTCAAAGAAACCCTTTGAGGCAGTTTTGATTCGATGAAAAGGGACGGTTTGGACTTGCATCGTTCAATGGCTTGGATTTCTTTTTGTGAATTCCACACGCGTCTGAGTCCAAAAAAAAAAAAAAAGAGAATTCCACACGCGTGGATGCTTCAGATACATCCAATCAATCTAACGGTCCTAAATTTTTGAGGTGCAGGAGAAGAGGACGAACGCTGAAGAAGAGGGAATCTGAAATTCGGAACCGTTGCATCACTGGGGGCTCAGGGGCGAAGAATCTGTTTCTGTGTGCAGTCATAATCTCATTAAATTTTCACTCTTTTCAAAATCGACGATCAGACTCACTCTTATGCTTCGCTATTAGCTCCATAGGCATAGCTTTTTTTCTCGCATTGTTTGACTTTTAATCTTTACTTCATCTTGCTGTAATCGTCGTTGACCTCCAGAGCCTGGACACTGTTTTTCTCTCATCAGAAGCATGGAGGTGGACTAAGGCAAATTCAAGGAAACAGGGGGCTCTTCTGAGAAAAGCTTCCAAGAACGGAGGTGATTTCCTCTTTGTCTATGGATTCTCTGTTTTTGGGTTTTAGTTGCAGAGCTAGTGTTTTGATAGGAAATGCTTATAGTACAGCGCTGAATTTGATCTCTAGAGCATTGAAAATTGAGCAACAGTAATTTTTTTAAATTGAAATCGAGGTCGTGATTATTTGACCAAAAGAACAAATTTCATTGCATGGTATTATGTCAGTGGGAGTGATACCGAGTGCTAACCCGTATTTCCCTTTTACCGAAAATGAAATCTTTCCATGAGTTTCAGTGGGCTCACGTGGTACAGTATCTTTATTCATGTATTAGCGGTTGTTTCTTGAGCGTTCTCCAAATGCATAATTTATTACTTGTGAATCGATAATTGATAATTGATAATTAAGTAATAACGATTCTAACTTGAAACCTAACTCAATCATGATCATTTGACCCCCAAAAAGAAACAAGATTTAGATTATATGGTATTATATCAGTGATACTGGTAACGAGTGCTCTAAGCATCGACAATGAAACAGTGGGCTCACACGGTATAGATTTTTTTTTCCTTGTTCTAATTTTTGTTTCTTTAACAGATTCCGAGTGCGTAATTAACTGTTAATTCAGTCTGTAAGAGCTAAGCGAGGTGGATAATTTGGATTACCTTTTTGGCCATCCATGTTTCGCTCTGATAAATTATCTATTTTATTCTGTAGATCTATTGGTACGACTAGGATTGACTTTGGAGTATGCAATTGCATTCTTTCGTGACAGCTGGAAGCAGAATAATATAGTTCCATAGGTGCAGAAAAATTATATGCATTAGCTTCTCTACTGCGGCACTTCATGGAATGCACATAATAGTTAGGCGCCGTGCACATGGGTGTTCGTTGCCATTAAGTACAGCGAGACTTGAGAGGATTTGATCCTTCGACAAATTGCTTTGTGTAATTTTCTCTTTTACATTCTTGCCAGCTAACAAATGTCAGTTTCAAGGTTTCTCTTCAGTAACGGCATCCTCTTGCACACCCCAGATGCTCCTCCAGTCAAGGTCCTCCTTGAAGCTAATCCAGGTAGATACACGAGTAAAATTAAATCGTACACACTATACTAGACACTTATTTTTCTCTCCTTTGATTTATTTTGATTTTAATTACCATTTATCTTTTAGCTTACTTCTATTCCAGGTGCTTACACAACCACACGGACTCATGACCGTGGTTCCTACTTATTATTTTGGGAAAGACACATGAAAAGACTTTCAGAATCCATACATACTTTATCAAACTTAGCTCCACAACTTCTATTTAAATCTGACAAATCTACCAGTTCGTCACCATCATCAGTAAACTTACCAATATGGCAACCCACAGTTCAGATGCTTGTTAATGATTCCATTAGCAAGGTCTTACCAATTGCATTGAAAGAGATAAATGATTGCCAAGAACTGGCTATTACAACTCTTGTTTGTGGTAATTTGGATGCACTGAATGCACAGAAGACTGTGGAATGTGAAGAAAGATTAAGTAAGACTCTTGAGGTGCATGTTCATGTTGAGACTTATATTCCCCCTTCATTTGGTATAAGGGATAATGGTGTAAATCTGGCTTTGGTGGGCTGGGGGAGGAATGTCGCATCTGCAAAGTATTCAGATTGGGTAAGGTAAGTTTGTGCCTAGAAAACTCAGACACCTTTGAAAGGGAGTACTGCCCATTTCAATGCATGTCAAACTGTCATATTGGACACGACACGACACTTTATATCACATTTAGATGCTTAAAATTTTGTAGTTCACTGTCAATGTCAACGTGATATCATCCCATATCCGTGTCCATGCTATCTAAACTTCCCTTTTGGAATTGGAAGTCTCATAAGTATCAACTTCAAGCCAAAAATTTTGTTGGGATAAACTATGAATATACATGTAATACTGAAGTTCTTGTCAATTTGTTTCCTAGGTTATTGCTGCCTGCAGCGTTTATGTTCCTTGAAACTGTTTCCTGGATATTTGTCTATATTGCAGGTTGAGGCAGAGTCTGGAAAAGCTCAGGCCTCCTTCAGTGACTGAACTGTTGCTGTCAAATGATGGTGATCAAGTGCTTGAAGGTTGTATAACAAACTTCTTTGTTGTTTGCGGCAAGGTTCGTTTCTCTGAAAATATAATGATGGATAATATGTATGCTTGACTTACGGTATCATTTCCTATTTTATGTCTCAATTCATGAGATTCCCCTCTGTGTGATTGGTAATAGGATACGAGCAATGACAGTCACAGAAATGGAAACTCTTTTCAAGTACAGACAGCTCCTATCAGTGATGGCGTCCTTCCAGGAATTATACGTCAAGTAGTGATTGAGTATGATGTTCTATTACGAACCTTTAAATTTATCTACTGATGCATCTTCCTTTCCTTTCCACCATTTGCATTCAAAATTTATTGCTCAAGAATTTACTTGAGATGCTAGATTTGGGGGCTTTGTCTCATAGTGGTTATCGTAGAAATACTCACGTCATTTTTCTGGAGTTTGCAAATCTTAAACTCAGTTAGAAACAAAAGAGAACCTGACTTTATCCAATAAAAGCAGATCATCTTGGTCACTTATGAGTGATGATTTCAGCGTTATATGAAACTAGAAAGATTGCCTCGTCAAAGATCTGGTAGTAACATCACGCCATAAAAGATAGGGTAATACCATGTTTGCATAGAAAAGAGATGAAGAAACATCGTTTATTTGCTTGTGTACCATACCACTGATCTTCTATGTATACAGAGTATGTAGGAGCAATGGAATCCCATTTCGTGAAGTTGCACCATCATGGTCAGATCGTGAAGTGTGGGAGGAGGCATTCATCACAAGTATATATTATTTTTCTTTTAATAATTCTATGTTCTGGTGATGGATCCCAGTCAATGACATTTGTTTTTTTTCCCCGATTCTGAATATTTATCATGTATTTCGGCACAAATTAATGTGAAACTTCAGATCCTGGACTCTATTTGCAAACACGATTCACTTTGGACCAAATAATATTGCAGATAGCTTGAGGATTTTGCAGCATGTGGATAGTGTTCAGGTTCCGACTGATTGGCAATCAGTCCATTCCAAAACGTGGAAAGATGTTTCATGGGAAAAGAAGCAGTTTCAGGTGCTAACTTACTAAGATACTGAAATTACGTACACTTATAGGGCTTGTCTGGTACGGCATGGGAAGATGATTTCATTTGTCAGTGCGCAAAGAATATCACATAGTTAATCATACTCTGGTCATCATCATTAATCAGCATCTATTTACTTTCATTACCTTTTTCTAAGAGTAGGTACTAGATACTTATATTTTTGTCCACGAAATTACTTCTTATTTCTTCATCCTATTTCCCTTGATTCCTTTCATCTCATGCACCAAATCACCTGTTACTGCAGGGGAGACCTGGGAAGATCACTGCTATAATCCAGGTGACTTTATTTGTTAGACAACCAAAAGCAAAACTTGTTTCTTCCTCCATATGATTTGCCTATGCGCTTTGCACAAGCTTTGTTATGCTTTGACTTGTACTACTTTTGGTTCTTAATGTAAGAACTAACTAAGGGTTGGATTTGATCTTAAATGTAAAATATCAATTTATTTTGTGTCCCACATTTATGATTTTTTCCCTAAAATATTCCTATTGATTGTAAGAGTTTCCACTGAAAAGTAGTTCTAGTACACATGATTGAAAAAAGTGGTTTAGGAAAATCAACATACATTTGCTACAAATAACCAACTTAACTAATTTTCTTAATCTTTTCAAATTACTTATCTAACTCTTATATTAAAGACCAGAGATAGTATTATACTAACTTGTGTTGTACATGGGATATGATCATACCTCACTTGCCTTACTTTTTCTGAATCATATTTAACAGCAGTGATACAAAAGCCAAGTTGTCTTTTTTATTTTGCGCAGGAACTGATTATGGAGAGAGCAGCACAGGAAGGGTACGCAAGCAGTAACTTTATGAAGTGTGATCAAACTTCTGCTGGTATGTAATGGTATTAGTAATGCAAGATGAGAGGAATAATCTTCATTGTGATTAGTAAAGTGGTAGATGAATAATTGCTACGCCGATAGTTCTTCCTCTCTGCTGTTTATGGCTTGAAGCACATTCTTGTAATGAAGGATCGAACCTGTGATTGTTTTTCATTTTATCCAAAAGGATATTTAGTGTTGTTGTTGTTGTGAGGCAAGCCCCCTTCCCGGGGCAGCACTGTTGGGTCAATCTTTCTTTTATTGTTTTTTTTTTCCCTTGAGAAGAAGACAGAATGGTATTAATAATAAATGAAAAATAGTTACGAGCTAACCTGAACTATAGGATTAAAACGGCAACTAAAAAACCTATAAAAGGAAGTAGAAGCTGCTTGAAAAGGTGAGAGTAAGAACGCATGAAGCATAGCTGGTCCTATATTTGCAGTGTCACCCCTCACCGCCGGGTACGTGGAATTAGGAAGCCTGGGACGTAAATATCGTTATCCAAGAATTAAATCATTTATTTTAAGAGAGAATGCATTTTGCATACACAATTAATGTTATTGACTAAAAGTAAATAATAGGAAAAAATAACTGTAATATAAGCTAAATAAATATTACTTAAAGGTTTATTTATTAACATGCATTCAAGTTATACAGCAGTCAAATTTTTTACCTGTTTAATTTTTTAACAAAAAAATAAAATTAATTTTACATGATTTATTTAAAAAATGAATTGTTATGAAATTTATATTTTATATTCTAATATTGAATATTGATATTGGTATTTATGATAATGATGTTTGATTATTAAAATACATTTACCTCTCCTTACCCCAAAAAAAAAAAAAACATTTGCTTCTCCTCTGCTCGGTTTTCTTTCAAATTGATTTAAAAATAATTTAAATTGAAAATGTAAAAAGTAATTACATGTTTTAGTAATTTTTGTTATCACTATAAAATGATTTGCCCATGCACGTCATATGGCTCCAAATTCGGATTTTTACTAAAATTTTAGGGTAATTTGATCAATAACAACCCATTAACAAAAGGATGAGGTAAATGGATGAATCGATGACTTACAAATTACTAGTCAGCTTCTCGGAAGGTTGCTTCAACTTTTTTTTTTTATTTTCCTTTTTCTGTTTTTTGCCGTCAATCTTTCTCTTCCTTTCTCTCTTTTTAAAATCACGGAATAGAACAAGTGTATGTATCTCTAAAACATTATTGTCTATTCCATTTTTCACGCATGATACAAGAATAACTTTTAGCCAATTTATTAAAATTGGTATTATAATTTTTTTCCAGGCACAGATATCATTCCATTAGAGGTAATTATGTTCGAAACATTATGAAACACTAAATGTGGGTATATATTATGACGAGAATTCAAATATTGATTTGTTATGTTGTGAGGAATTAGTCTCTTCTATTATACCCAACCATACTGGTAATATGAAAATTATTTGAATCCAGCACCAGCATGTTATATGAAAAAATTTGAAAATTCGGCCATACTATCCATAAATAATAAAATGGCATTCATTACTTTGCTCAAAAGAATGCATCCACTATGCGTTCAAAAAGTATTGTTACTTGTTAGCAAAAATAGAAAAGGCAGTGTTGATTAAGGTTGGGGACACCAAAACAGATTTAAAATTGGGCTTAACTTCCGGCCCAATTTGATGTAAAATTGGGCTTGACTTCGAATTTTGAACAGAACCCAAACCCAACTGTAAGAATCTTTTGAAGCTGATGATGGCGCGGGATAGTGATTTCGTACTTCACATTGGCGATTCAGTTCCTTTCTCCTTCTCGGTGCAAAGGATCCCCAATCCACAATCTCAATCCTCTTCTCGGAAAATATAAAGCTTGAAGCCATGCCAAAATTACCCGATATACTGCTTCACCTGCGTCGTTCCCATGGTGACGGAGCTGATACTCGCAACGACTTCGATCTCTGTGGTGTGAAAGTGAAATTCAAAGATCTCTGTCTTCTCTCTGATGATCTCTTCAAGCATCTTCACGTCAAATTTGAACATTTTTTCTCCACTTTGCGGGATCTATCTGAAAGTGGGTCTCGTCAAGTGCCCGGATTGCAGTCGAAATTGTGGGAAATTGTTCAAGACCTAACGTTGGTTCTCAGGTCCTGTCTCATTATTTTGACATTGCTCGAGTCTGAACAGCAGTCCCTGCTTAAAAAGTGCCGCTATATCTGTCAGATTTTGAATATTTTTTATTCCATTGAGGTGAATGAGAGAAATGGAAGAGCCCAAATTACATTTGAGAATATGGGCTCCTGTGAATTCAATGCTAGCAGTGCCGAACTTTCCACACCTGCTTCTTTCGAGTTAAATGATCCTTGCCGTCCATTTCTATGTTCAGTGCTGGAGGTAATGCTGGTTAGCGGTTATTCTTTTTTCCTTTTTTCGGCTATTGTTGCGATTATGCCTTCTGCTGTAACCTATTATTTCGTGCACCTTTTGACCGTTCAATGTTCATAACGCCTGATGGGCAAATGCAATTAGTTTTTTTTTTTTTTAAGTTATTTACATTTTTTTTCCATTGAAAACCCACGTAGTCAGCTGCTTGTGATCTTCTTTCTTTTTTGTGAAATGTACCAGCTTTCCCTCATCAGGGTTTGAGCGACCCGCTAATTACAATTTAACATCATGAGGTGTTGAAGATTTCTTAAATAATTCATATTTTTACCAACCAGAACAGCTTTGAATAGAATAATCCAAACTGCACTTTGAAAGAACCTCTGGTTTAAAATAAAAAAATAAAAAAAATAAAAATAAAAAAAAGGGAGGACGAGGAGGAGGAGGAACGAAAAGCTACTACTACTTTTAGCAGAGAATTTTCCCGGGTTGTACTTTTATTTTATCCCTAAGTAGATTTACTTGTTAAGAAATGTTAAGCCTTCTACTGGGCCATAGCATCCACTTCTCTGTTCTCCATGAACGGCCACACGTCAGACTAGTATTATTTATATTTTTTACTGAAAAAGTTTGGAGCTTTTCAGGTTTCTATTTGTCTTTTCTTCATTGCTCTTTAATTTTATTTGTAGGTAGCCTAAGGTAATAAAATGTGTAAACTTTTCCTTTCCTCGTGTTTTCCCGTCCTTTTTCTTGTTTTGATTAACAAATCTTACCAATTGTATGTGTCTGTTTTGTTCATAATAATTAGTATAATTGAGTAGCATGATGAATTTTGGTCAATGCACTTGGAAAATGACTAAACATGATGTTATCTTAGGCATTCGCGGATGAGTGTTTAAAGCATCCATCTTTAAGGAAGTACATTATGTACATGGAATCATCTTCTTCGATCAGAGAAAAGGATTCAACATTTCACTTGAACCATGGTTATATTGCGAGTGTCCTAGAGATAACATCTGCCCATTTTATGCTGTCAGTTACTGATGAGCAAGCACTTGAGAAGTTCATCGCCAGATTACTTCGGCCCTGTGGCAAGGATTCAAGAGATATTGAACTAAGTTTAGAAGCTTCCATATCATTGCTGCTCAACCCTATTTTGCTTTCTGCACCAAAGATGTTCCAGGCACATGTAATTTCATTAGTTTCTGAAGCCATTGGTCATGGCTTATCTTCTCAGAACTTGGTTGCGGATAGCCTTGTGGACTGCTACCTTGCAGCATTTGAAAGATCAGTCATTCTGTACTCAATGCATGCTTCTAGTTTGCAGACGGATGGTTATTGCATAGGATTCAAATGTTCTAATCATTCTTATCTACTTCGAAGAAGCCAGATAAAATTTGAAACCTACATTCAGCAAGTCACAAAGAACAATTTAGATGATCTTGTATCAAAACTGGATGGTTCATGGGATTCTTATCACTGCAAAATGTCATCCAAAACGGAAGCCAACCGTTTGACTGAATATGTTGCTTATATGAAAGAAAGCCAACATATATTTCCTGATTCATGCAGGAACACAATTTTCTCCATCTTAGAATGCATTATTCGTAGAACTTTCTCTGAAAATGCCGCTGGGGATGAATTCTATACAAAGAAAATAGCTGGTGTTCAGGATATATGCCTTCTCACATCAATATTGAGGTTAATGAGCATATCACTAATTCAAGCCACTCGGTGCCTAAGTAATGGTGGTAATTCAGGTTGCCTGAAGACTTTGGAAAATGCCTCTTTGCCTGAAAGATATGATTTCTTGATCAGCACTGTCAGCTGTTTCCAACAGTGTGATATATGTTTACCCATTCAAAACATGTTGTCTGATGTGATGAAGAGTCACCGTGCAAGGCCTAAACACTCCAAGTCAATACTTCACTTTTCGGGCTTGTTATCTTCAAGTTTAATTCATGGATTTGATATCTTGGCAAAGGCATGCATATCTGTAATTACGGCACTGATGTATCTATTCATATTTGTAGAGGGGGATTTAATTGCTTCAGGATCATTGAAGGATCTACCACTGCCATCAGAAATGCCAGTGGTTAAAGCTAGAGAGGTGAAGTATGCCTTCAGTTTTCATATACTTGATAAAGAGTTTGTATTTCAAGCTTAAAATCATTGCTGCTGTTGCAGGATGCTGTAAACAAAACTAGCTACAAAGTTGCATCAGAGTTTCATAAAATTTGGGCACGTCATTCCAGGTACACGATGCTATTACTAAATTACACAAATTCAATTATTCTATCACGATAACTGGATTTTCATTGTCCATTTAATCATATGACAATTAACAAGTTTATTTGAGTTAATGAATTTATGCTGAATTTTAATGTACTCCTTGTAAAATCTATCACCTATGCTATCCGCTACTGATATCTTTTACGTTCAGTTCCCTGTATATTTCAACAATTATTAGATTCCGTCAAATTAATGGTATTTGATTGATTCAGTCTTTCCCGATTCTACCTTTATCGTGCTGATATTCATCGATCATCAAAATCTGAATATATGAGTTGATAACTGTTCAACCTTAACTTCATAATCCTTTCTTTGCTTTCTTGACTCCCCAAGTAATTTTCTTCCTTTTACTTCCCACAGAATGAATGCCCCATCAAGCTTCCAACAAGGAACCCAAGAGACTGAAGCAGAGAGTACATGGACAGTGCCAGTTCTTGATCCTTTCTCCTTTGACATAGAAGAGGAAACATGTAATGGTGAGATGTTCCTTGAATGCATTCTTGAAAAATCCAGAACATCTGATTATGCTGATCTAGTGGACTTCGTTGAGTGCAAGAGAGGGAAAGACTATCATGGCTGGTTGAAGAACCGAGAGAAATACCGAAGATGGAAACGTCACAAAGTGGATAATATGAGGAAGAAGAGCAAGAAAAAGTTGTGGAAGGTTCTTAAGTGTTCGAAGACATCACTTCCAAGGAAAAGATGAAACGCCAGAAGGGGTGAAATATATGGTACATAATCTGTGCTTCCATGCTTCTTGTACATGTCTAGTAGTAGCCTCCTTTGCCTCTTTTGATTAACTAAATATTAAGTCTAGGCTCTAGAGGTTAGAATTATAAAATTTATGTACGTAATGATCTGCAGGTTGTACTCCTCCGGTCCTAATGATCTAGAGGTTGTATTCAATCTCTTTTGTATTTCCAATTTATAATTTGCTCTTTAAATTGTCCTTATTAATTTCACTTATAAGGTGTTTTATTAAAAGTTACTCTTTCTTATCCTTTTTATAGGAGTTTATTAACTAAATTACATGGTTTAAAAGTAGTTAAAATTAATTAAAAATAATAAATATATAAGAAATGAACTTCCTTATTTATAAGAGACAAGTAAGAGAAAGAAAGTATAAAAAATGTGGTAAATCATTTAATTAATGCAATATATAAAGTTCTTTTTTTCAGTGAAACAAATGTAATATATAAAATTAATTAGGGGCAAAAATGATAAAAGACCACTAGGTAATTCAAATTTCAGGATCTTATTTTTATAAAAAAAAAAAAAGGACCGGAAGGAGTAGTTTTCAATATAAATGATTAAAATGGTAATTTAGAAAGTTCAAATATATTTCTTATAAATAAATACTCAACTAATTTTTTAATATTTACAAATTAATTATTTAGCTTTACATTGTAAATTTTCTCTCAATATGATGAAATTGTTTTTTTTCCTTTTTATGTAGAAAGTGAAACTGAAGTTTTACCAGGGATATAGGTCCAACGAGACAAAAATTAGGTTCACCGGCTCCTTAAATCTCTCCCCAGCTTGACCCAAATGGACCAAGCTTGGGCCCAAATATCTTGTTTCCCGTTTGTGATGGGATTTGCTTGCAAAACCCAGCTATTGGTCACATTTAGACTAATTAGCCCTCAAAATATTTCAACTGACTTTTTATATGTAATTAAATAAAAAATGAACATGAAAAAAATACCTCTAGGGGAAAAAAAAAATCTTCCCTTCTATCATATCCTTCTCTGAGATTTCATGTTATCAGACAAAATTAGATCCTCAAATTCATCAAAATTTAGAACTAAAATTAAAGGATGAAAAAAGGGCCCCCGCTTTATTTTGGGGGGGGGGGGGGGTTCCCTAAAAGAAAGCTTGTAACTGTAAGTCAGCGCCATGAACCCCCCCGCCCTCAAAAAAAAAAAAAAAACAGATGTCCTGCCCTACTCTACAGGTTAGTGCCCAAGTATACTACGTTCACCAAAAAAAAATTGCGACATGCTTCCATAGTCAATTGAATAAATTATTGGAAAAGCAAAATCGACAACAAAAGCTGAAACACTCCAGTTTTGCGAATTCCCTTTTGCCTGGATTCACCCTGTTAGTCATAGTCTGGATTTATTTTTTCAAAAAAAAAAAAATCGATCTGTTTATATATATATATAGAGAGAGAGAGAGAGAGAGAGAGAAGAGCCAAACAAAACGATAGCATTAACATCGGAAAAGTACCCCTGATGTGTTCTGATATGAACCTGGACGTACAAATAAAAAATGCTAATATGAATACGTCAAAGGCTATCTCATTTATTTGGATCATTTTGTCACGCACTATTTTTTGGGCTGATATTTCACTACACCAATTAGCTGCTCTTATTTTTCCGGGACCCGACAACTGGCTGCTACGGGTCCAAACAGAGCCTGTGAAGAGTTTGTCAGGAGAATGTAAAGTCACGAACAGACGAAGCGTCTCTCTTAAAATGATCCAGTTTTATCCCTCGCGTTGTTCACATCAGAATGTTCAAAGTCAAATTTTGGACAAAATGTGACTTGCACAGGTGCAATATTAGGTCATCGAAATTGCATAGAAGCAACACGGCCATCTCATAAACCAGAGTGACCATATTATAACTCATGAAACTGAGGTCTCATTATATTTAGGCCTTTTATATAAAACCTCAAACACTGAATTACAAAGACATCAAAAAAGGAAGGAATAGTTAGACAAATCAGATCACCCAGGCTTTTGGAGACTTGTATGCGCAACATTAACTTCTATTCTTACAACATAGAAGCATGCCTACCAAAGACTACTATATATTTAACATAGAAAATCATACATGACAAGTAATCAGCCTAGGACTACCGAGTTTCATATCGAATCCCAAGTTAGAAATGGCGGCTATTGAAAATGCTTACAGAAAACTGGGCAAAAGAGAAAACTAAGGAACGACAAAATGGTGCATCCTGGCTAGCTACCAACAAAAGTAATATTCTGAACATAATAATGGATGACCAGATGTATTAACACTCCGGTTACCTCCAGCAGCCTATCGTGGACAACCAGATGGAATTAACAGTCTCACACAGAAGTTCCCTCAGTTAAATGCATTCTCTGCCAAATCCTTTTCAGCTTATATACGACTTCATCCCTAGTATGAGAATGGAAAATGCGATTAATTTTTAACTTAAGATTGCAATTAGAAATGCAAGACCAAGTATAAGATACATAGTGTACACAGCAGCAAAAATATGAACTCCAAAAAGGCAAAAACAATTTTCAGTTTTCACCAGGAAAAACCATAATCACACCTTGGTAAGAGCAGTTAACATCCAAACAAGACAGGCAATTTAAGGAATACAAAATTCTATTTCTTCATACTGAAAACCATATTACTTGACATTTTTAAGTCAATATCCAATTGAAAAACAGGTTATACCTATCCAAGATTCTACATAACCATCCTGGCCTGGATAATAGTTTCAATTTATTCAACAAGCCTTATCCACTAGGTGGTATAGTTTCAATTCATGATGCTACAAGTCCAAGTGAGTGAACAGAGCACAGTTACTACATTATCAACCACGGACACTGGTGCAAGCACTGAGATTAATCATTACAGATGTTGCAAAGAATACAGCAGTTCAAAGGCACTTACCAAAGAATTCAGACCATATTAACTTCGAAATTGGAGAGATCAAGATGCATCTCTTGGTCATGTGTTGTGGCGACAGTTGAAGCCTTAAAAAGTGCACTAGGGGTATAGTTAAGCTGGTAGTTTACAAGTATTGCTCCAAATATGTTGAACTTTTTAGCACTGTTGAAAGCAACCTCTGCATCGGCACACTTTTTAAAAACCACTCTGGCGCGGCTGCCCACTGTGTCAACTTCTGTTTCAGATTCCTTAAGAGGTCCAAAACGCCTAAACATCTTATTAAGGTTTGTCTCTGAGGGAACAGAATCCAACTCCGCAAAGTTCATAACAAGTTCAGCAGGGGATTTATCATCTATATAACCAGAAGGTTTTTCAGAAGCCTCCACATTGCTGACATTACTGTTGTCAGAATACCGTTTCCTGGAGTAGGGCCTACGACTCACTTGGACAGGTTTCTCTGGATCAGGAAGCACAGATTGATTTTCTTTTTTCCTGCTTCTTTTTGATGGCTGCTCTTCAGAACCATTTTGAATGACTCTATCTGTCCAATAAGTATCACTCATATCCTCAAATTCAAATGTTTCAGGTAATCCAGCAATGGCCTGTTTCTTCCTTTTAGGACCAACTTTATTCGGAGGGGTGATCTCTCTTTCAGAATAATTTCCTACAACTATTGAGTTCCTGAAATCAGAGAAGAAACTTACAATAACACTCGAGAACTTACAATGTTCTACTGGATCTTGCGCTGCCCACTGAAGTAAAGATAGCAAATCATTAAGTGATGAATATTCTGCTGGGTCAATTGGCTTCTTAGCCTCCTCAAGATTTTGAGCAGAAACATCTTCAGATGCATCCCCAGAAAGTACATCAGTGTCTTCATCTGGCTTCTGGGGCCTTTCACCAGAACTCCTCACTGCAGGAGACCCTGTAAGTTGACTAGCAACCCTACGAATACATTCACCAATTTTAAATGATGGTTTTGAGGAACTGGAAACTTTTGCAACGGAAATTGTTTTCCTCCCATCTTGCATCCCAGGGTCATCAGCATATGGATCGACAGTCCTCCTTTTCTTGGAAGCAGTAGGGGAAACTAGACTGTCAATGGCTTTCTCATCCAACCAATAATCATCTGGAGAATCTAAAGTCCCACCAATTAGTTCTGACAAGCTTTTTTCTTTCTTTTTAGGATACATACCATCCTTCAAATTATGTTTACGTTTGTGGTAAGAGCTGTTGTGGATTTTTGAAACTCTATGACCAGCAGAAGCTTGATCAGCATCCTTGCTTAGAGGAGTTTCATTACCCTCGCTAGCATTATTCTCAACATCTTGCATTGAGCTGTCTATATCACAGTCCAGACCTCCACAATATTGAAATTCAGGCAAGCAAGAATAACCCTTTAAACGATAGAATGCAAGCAACTGAGCCTTGGCAATCCCAAGCTCCAATCGATCAAAGCCACCAGTTGGGCACTGAGATAAATTTTCCAAATAGTCTAGTAGTTTATTGGGAGAAAAGGAGTTTGCATCCAAAGATTCATCCGATGCATGTTTTAAACTTGTTTCTTCTCGAATCCCAGCATTTTCAACAGTCTGGAATTTGACCTGGTCATAAATATCTTTTGGTACGCAGGAACATGCCAGCCCAAATTCTACTCGTCTTGAGACTTCATCTATAGCACAATCTACAGCATTATGGAATGATTCTGAATTGCTCTGCTTTTCAATATTGGAGAAATGTGCTCTAAAGGGCTTCAGCTGAGATGCTTCATTCCAAGCAAATGTTCTGTCCCCAAAATATGCCACCAAAAAGCAGTCCTTTTTATAATGCTTCATAGCCTTCTCTGACGCATCTGACGGATCAAATATCTGTCCAGGCCACCATGGATGGCTTCTCACCTTACCCCAAACCATATCTGAGACAGAAAAGTCACCTTCCTTTTCAGGTGGCAATATAGAGCTAGCCTGACAAAATCCTCCTGAACTTCCAGCCTTCGTAGCCATGTGCTTTAAGGCTTTCTCATCCATTGAATTGTGATGGTCCTCACTGTTATCTTCTTTAACTTCAATTTCCTGACTTGCATGTGAATCTGATTTCTCACAAGTATCACCTAGTTGTACTTCAATGGTCTGCCTAACATTTGATTCAACCTGATCATTACTTGTCATATTCTGGTTGACATGCTTCAAGGACATCAACTTCTGATCATCTGCAGACAATGGTGCTTCATCATTGGATTTCTCCTCCGCAGTACCCATTGACGAAAAAGTCCCCCCATCAGCAGTTTGATTATTTTCTACACTCCTGGAGTTTGTAATAGCCTCTAAATTATTGCCAACCACACCAAAAGATACCGATGTGCCTGCATTAACAGAATTACAACTTCATTATCTTCACTCAAGAATATGTTCATTTACAGCTGAAATTTCAGTCTCAACCACTAATTAAGATGAAATATTCGCAGTTACAGCCAGGGATGCTCATGTGTGGGTTGTTTAAGAATGGAGGGAGTTTTCAACACAAATCACTCATTGATGTGCAGGTCACACATGTGGCAAACAAAATTCTACAAATTGCAAATATTCAAGTCAACAAAAATAAAGCATTCAAAATTAAAACGTCATATTCTATTAAAAAAAATAATTATAACATGAATAAAATAGTTAACATCATTAAAAGAACTAAATCTTCCATCCTTGAAGTAAAAGTTCCATCTCCAATCACAGCTTAATGCCTTAACACAAGCAAATTATTATTTGTATAATTGCAGGTAGAAGGGAACAGATTTAAAAAGTCACACTGTCTAATTTATTAAGGAAGACTCTTTTTTTTGGAGGGGGTTAGATTAGGCTGAAATTGCTTCAGCCCAACCCCGTGCTATGAGTTGAAGGAACTGTAACCTACGCCAAAAATGTGATCGGGGTCGCTAGTAATTTTACCTTGAATATTAGCATTACCACTCCCTCTGTTCACCCTTGCTGAGTGATCTTCAGCTTCCTCCTCCTCCCCTTTATGCAAAATAACATGTTTGACATCAGAAACATTTCCATCTAATCTCCCCTGTTCCCTTGAACCAGAATCGACCAGATCAGGATCACTATCGATATCGATTTCTATGCTATGTTCAGAACTTTGTGGTCGTTCAGATAAAACACACCCTGTAACTCCATCTCTCTTAATCAAAGAAATTTCTCCAACATTACAAACCTGAGCATCTCTCTCCATGCTTGAAACCGCTGTCTTGTAATTTTCAGAATTTTGTCCTCTGCCATGTAAAGCAAGGCTTTCTGAATGGCAGTCTTTGTCAATCTCCATCCCCTGCCCAGTATCGGAACTGACATAAGAAGCATCAGAAATCATTTTCTTTTCCATGCATTTTTCATTCCTAATACACTTGTCGGAATTCAAACAATCCTTGTCCGCATCTACTTCAACACCAGAAACCACTTTTGGCAGACTGCCTGAGTTTTCACCAACTTTATCAATATCCATTGACTGCTCTTCAGCTGACTGTAACTTTTCATCAGTAGCATTAATCTTCATATTTTCATCTTTGTCATAGATACAAGCCTCTTCCTTTAATGTTTTATCACCCTCCTCATTAGCAATTTTCTTCTGTCGATCACATGATTTCAAGGTCACATCATTTCTCCCCTCCCTTGCTCCTTGATCTACCAAGTTCTTCTGCTGCTGACTATCCTTTTCAACTGATTCACTATGCACATTTTCTCCATTTAATGAACTAACAGCTGTCGAACCTCCTAAAGCATTATCACATGAAGGATTTGTCAACTTATCATCCGGAACTGCAGCTTCCTGGGCATCATTGTGCTCAAGTCTGACATCCTCCGCCATGGGCAATTCTGTTCCTTCAAGTGTGGAATTGACAACTGCCAAAGAGCCGCTAACTCCAGTTCCCGTTTCTTCTTTCTGAGCTCCATTTTTCAAAACTGGAGCTCCCTGCATATTTGGCACATCTTCACCTCTCTCTACGTTGCCATCCTTCAATGTTCCCCTTGCAACATCCTCCTTGCCCAGCGCTGCAACATCATGTTGGGCTGTGGGATTCTCACTCTTAGATTCTAAGGATTGCAAATGGGAAGCCTCAAACCCGGCCTCAGCCTCATTACCCACCCCAGAGTCTCCACCCAAAGATTTCATATCATTACCGCCGTCGACTGATCCGCCACAAGCCACTTCATCACGCAGCTCTGCTTCATTTCCACGAGTGCAAACACCATCTATGTACACATCAGAACCCAATACCTCCACCATTATGTCCTTCTCGCTGCCCCCTCCAGCATCTTCACCACCCAACCCCTCAACCTGACCCTGACTAGCACAGTGCACAGACTCCTCTAGGGTTTCACGAGCTCCGTTCTCATTAAGGGTCGCAGTGGATTCTGAAATTCTACATACAGAGACCTCCTCCTTCGATTTTTCCATAAAAAGCGTATCTGAGTAAAGTGCAGAACTCTTCGGAAGAAAAGGAGAAAAAGGAGAACCCCTCTTTTAGCAATTTTCGGAAGAACGTAGCAAAAACCTAAACCAGAAAACTGCGTATAAGTTTTCTGTGCCCTAAGCCATATTCAAAGACAACGAGGGAGAAGAAAACCTAGGAGTCAAAGTTATACATGTAACAAAGAAAAAAGACGAATCAAAGGGCAAAAGAAAAGATGAGTAGAGTACCCGGTTAGATCTTCAGGTAGTGAAAGCTGAGAAATTGTTTGAAGTTTGGAGAGAGAAAGAGAGAAGACTAGGAAGCGAGTATGTGCGCGCGCGTGCAGAAGCATAAGGTGGGGCTGCGGGGACGCGAAAAACAAAAAATGAAAAAAAACAAAAGGGAAATAAAAACGTAATTCTCACATCCGAATATAATGCGCTTTTGCCCTTTTCACCCCTTTTGTGATACGTGTCAGTGCTGGGACGGTTTGGTTATTTTTATATAAAGATAAAGAAATTAAATAATGGAAAAACATGGTAAAGTTTGTAAATTTTATGGGCATTGAACTTAACTAGACACTATTTTGTCCCAAGAAAAATTAACTAGACGCCTGACCCCAAAAAACACTCCCTTTTCCTCATAACCAATGGGCGTTTTCATATCAGAAAAATTAATGAGGTTTTTCAATTTTTCTTATTGGACCCTTACACTTCATAATTATATAGCCCCTACAGCCATGATCTGTGTTTAAAGCTGATTTACATACTGACTAAATGATATTACCTCCTCTTTTAATTATAAGAACTAGTTAACTAATTTGAGAAAATTAAAAAAAGAAGTTAAGTTAATTATTTGTAATAAATAGATGTTATCTTTCCTAAAATATCCTTACTAATCAAGTGTATAGACTAGAACTACTATTATTAGAAGGACTATCTGACGAAAAGATACCTAAATATGAGAGATAAAGTGGATTGGAGTCTTATAATTAGGACCAAACTAAAAGTCAAACGAGATCTTATATTAAGGATCAAAGGTAATATGTAGGTTTTTGAAAAGTAAGATTTTTTTTTTCATTATCAACGTTTAAAAAAAAAACAGTTATGTTAACGACCATTTCATTGCATCTATACATGATTTGTAATCCTATTGATTTTGATTTTATATACATCCAAATGGCAAAATTAACACAAATGTGTGTCGTGAATGAGAGCCATGTCATCAGCTACTAATGTTGTTTCTCTTACATTTGAAGTGTTCAAAGGCATGAAAATATGGATTAGTGTTTGGTTACAGAAGCCACAACAAGCTCCTGAAATCCACTTTGAGAGCTAAATGGAGGCTTCTAAATACAACACAGTTTCACAAGTAGTACAGTTGCCAAAATGATAAGAAAATCCAGCAATCCAAGTGCCCTTACCAGAGTAGAGTCATGCAATTTATGGAGGTCAGTTTTAAAGATGAACTCATTCCTCCACCGCCAAAGTTTCCATATTTTCACTCCCTATGTAATATCCCAATCATTTTCCATGCCATTTCCAAGATTCCTTTTATGGTTCATTGCGACCAAATTAAGAGAAATTGAAAAGAATTGTTAGTGAATAGATCATATAGCTTTGAAATATGAAGAATACTTTCAACATCATCATGACACCAATCACACAGATGTGCAAACTACAAAAAAAAAGGGGGGGTTTTGCAGCGGTTAATTTTATGTGTTTGCAGTGGTTTTAACTGCTACTAACGCATTTGTAGCGATTTTTAGAACTGCTACGAAAATGGGTGTGGCAAAATTACTTTGTAGCAGTTTATACAAAACCGTTGCAAATGTGGTCAAACTGCTATAAAATTTTGCAGCGGTTGTCAGAAACCGCTACAAATGCATGTCAAAACCGCTACAAATTTCATCCAAAGGTAATAGTGAAGTACTTCATTTGTAGCAGTTTTTTTTTTCAATTTGCAGTGGTTTTTTTTAAATTTGCAGCGGTTTTCAAGAACCGCTGCAAAATATACCGCCAAAATTTTCATGAAAATTTTGAAAATTTGGCATTTACAGCAGTTCTAATTCAAAATTTGCAGTGGTTCCCAAAACCGATACAAATGCACATATTTTTTTAAAAAAAATTATTGTCAAATTATTATTTGTTATTTATCCATTTTGTTACTTTTATATGTGATTCTATATTATGATTTATTTATTTAAATATTTTTTCATAAAAAAATTATATAGATATGTGAGAAATAATTTTTACATATATATAATTAACCAGTAAATTTCTAGAAGACAGAAAGATGACTATTTGTTTTGTGGTAATTAAAAATCCATAAGAGAGATAAAAGAATTAGAAGAACATGTAAGCATGATAATAAATGTAAACAAGAAACAAAATTAAATAATAAACTTTTTACTTTTTTACCTCTAATAAACTGATCGAGTAAAAGAGAGAGAGGAATGAGCAGAAGAATGACAAGAAAGAAGAATGAAGAAAGGAAAGAACAAATGGGAAGTAGTGAAGGGGGTATTTATAATGAGTACGTAATATTAGCAGCGGTTTGGGTAGCAGTTCACAAAACCGCTGCAAATTATTTGCATTTGCAGTGGTTCTTTCCAAACCCATAGCAAATTATTTGCATTTGCAGCAATTGTTTGTGAAACCACTGCAGATGTAATATTTTATTAAAAATATTTTGAATATTTACAGCGGTTTTAAGAAAACGGCTGCAAATGCATTACGTTTGCAGCGATTCTGACAAAACCACTGCAAACGTTTTTGAAATTTGTAGTAGTTTTAAGAAAACCTACATTATTACGTTTGCAGCGGTTCTGTCAGAGCCGCTGCAAATGTTTTTGAAATTTGCAGCGGTTTTAAAAAAACCGCTACAAATGTATTACATTTGCAGCAATTTTGACAGAACCGGTGCAAAATTTTGCTACAATTGTTCCCGCCACATGAAGCGAAGGTTATGAACCATAATTTTGTTGCAGTTTCAAGAAAACCGTTACTAATACACAAAAAATTGCTACTAATGATGTCCTTGCAATCAAACTGTTGCATATTAGTAGCGGTTTTTGCATAACCGCTGCAAATGTATAATTTAGTAACATTTGTAGCGGTTATTTGGAACCGGTACAAAACAACCGCTGCAAAGCACAGATTTTTTTGTAGTGGCATTGTAACCAATGCTCCTCCTTAAATTGGTAGGAATTATATATATATAAATATATGAATATATATATAAGTACAAGTATGTTCCCATGAGAGACAATCCTATTTGAAGTACTGAGGTAGTAAATATGAGTACCTCCTTTAGTAAGAATTCGAATATTAACTCACCATCACGTTATAAAAAGCTAGTTCCTTTCACTAGACTCAATCCCCATTAGTCGGTAGGAAGCTTTTTTTTTTTTTTTTTTGCTAAAGTATAGATATCCTCCTATTGGAGGCAATTCTATTAGAGGCACTGTCAGACACTAAATGTGAACGCCTCTCTTAGAGAGGATTCAAATCTTGATTCATCATGTTATGAAAGACTAACTCTTCCGCGATCCAACTCCCGTGGTAGGAAGCCTTTTTGAAAGACTAGTTATATGAAAAATCAAATTCTATCAGCCCCATTCTATTTCCTTATTTAACGAGTTTTGAGTTTCAGGCCCAAAAAACAAAAAAAAACAAAGTGTTTTGCACGAACAGGTCAATGAACTAAAGGCTTCATAATCATGGGGATTGTGGTTTGGCATCACTCTCTCAGTGGCTGACTTGACGCAAAATTCTGAAACTGTTACAAATTTGTTGACATTTGTATTATGCCCCTTGTGATAGCCTCGTTTTGTACCGCCCAATGGACACCCCCGGGAGGTTGGGGGAAGAAAGTGAAACTTAAAAATACAATCCCTTAAATAATTACTACTCTTTCCGGTCCTAAATATAAAATTTATTTTATAATATAATTTTATATTATAAAATAAATTTTATATTTGGAATCAGAGAAGTATCATGCGTAGAATCATATTAGAATTTTCATCTTTGATTAAAAAAATATATTAGAATTTTGATAAGACTACATTTAAACAGAACCCTCTCTGACATTTCAAATTGTGATTCTAAACATGCCGGCAATGTTTTTATGAATAAAACTTGTAGGAACCATTTTTAACTCAACTAACACTTAACACTTTCTTAAATTTTTATTAAATATGAGGTGCCGTATCCAACTCTCCATGAGTACAGTGGGTGTATTGAGAATTAGACTAGATATATTGATCTATCATTGATTGAACTGATAATGAAATTATTAAATTAAAAAATAATATTATATATACAATAATATATGTATAAGAAATAAAATATTAAAATATTAAATAACATTAAAAATACAAACTCATAAAATCTAAAGTATAGCCTTCAAAAAAAATTTCATGGCCAGTTAATAAGCTCACATGGTAATGATAAAATCTAAAGTATCAAAAGCAGTCGTTAAACTCATAAAACAATGACATTTATTTGGAAGAAAAATTAAATCCAATTCTAAAAATTCGGTTCAGGTTTCTAGTTCAACTTTATGTTATTATTATTTTTGAAATAACAACTAAGCTAAAACAATCAGACTACTAAAACCACTAGAAACATAAACATCGGACCATTTATTAAGATAAATAATAATTGAATCGATCTGACAATCCAGTCCAATCCGGTTCTCAAAATGATATACTCCTCCAGTCCTTAATATAGGACCCAATTGTTGAGTTGGTTTTGGTCCTAAATATAAGACCCATTTGTCATATTTATCAATTTTATCTAAATTACCCCTATGAATACTCTCTCAACCATAATCAAGTAGAAGAGAAAGATGGGGTATTAAGAAAGATGATTATGGTATTTTAGGAAAAATGTGTCACATTTTTTATAATTAATTAACTTACCTAATTTTCTTAATCTAATCAAATTAGTTAATGGGTCTTATATTAAGGACCGGCGGAGTACTTATTAGAACTTGGTAAGTGAAAGTTGCTCGAGTGGTGAAGCTATCTATGGTTAAACCAATGAAATGGCGATCCCTCTATTGCCTCATTTGGTTTGTGGAATGTGCAAAAATGAGAATGATTTTGTTATTTGGGAGAGAGAGGCTTGAGTTATTAGGATTGGAAGAGGGGAGGGGTAAGTGGAGACAGGAGAGATTGAGGGGAAGGCTA